TGAGTTTTTTGTTTGTGTTATTGTTTGTGCACCACTCTAGATCCTGCATTCATATCTTAAGACATAAAGTTTGGCTTGTCAGTTGAGTTGTAATTCAATGTTCAATATTCTGTTTTTTAAGTTGATTAATAGGGTTAGTGATTGAGAGAAAGTGATAAGGATTCTCATATTTAGGGAGATCCTAAATAGAAATACACAAGGGTGGTATTGGAAAGAGGAATTGAACTAGTGTTGTTCATCTAAGACTAATTGTACTAATACTATTGAAAAAGTGAAATTCCTTTCTTGTGTTTGAAGCCCCCTCATACGTAGATGAGGTAGCACGAATTAGATTGCCAATTATCTTGTGTTATTTATTACTTTATGCTTGATCATCTTGTATTTTATTATCTGTTAAATTCTGATTTAAGATGTTGAACACATTAGCTTAGATATATGGTCCACCATTTGTCTAGTTATAGTAGAATTTCAATAAACATCATAAAGTGATAACAATATATAGAAAGACAAAGTATTATTTCCAAAAAAACTCAAAATTTTCATGGAAGGACCATGCCGTTATTATTCACAAAGAAATAACAAAAAAGATAAAATTAAATTTGGATTGTACCCACAAAACTATTTCAACATTACAAAAGGATTCATGCACAAACCTCAGAGGTACATAGAAAAAACAAAGAAAAATATGGACATTCATTCAATCCTACCATCTATCACGCTTTTACAAGCATCTAGAACTATGACATCCAAAGTTATACTAGGGTTAATGCATGAATATGAGCAATATAATTTTCAAAGCTTTGGATATCAATAACAGTAATCTCTACCTTATACTCAAAACATAACTGACCAAGTCAAAGTACTTTAGAATTTAACTTAACAATCTTCTTTTTCTTTTGAAGGAAAACCTATTAATGAAGTCTCTTTAGTTTTATGTTCTACTTGAAAAGTGATTTTGCTTTCAGCTTCCTCAAATCTGACTTAGCCGAAATGTTTTTTCGAAAGTGCATTTTCTGATTTAAGAGAAGTAACATTGTTCTCTGGGGTTAGTAGTCGGTTTTCCATTATCTACTTATGTTTAACACCAATAGATGCCATAACTTAGACCCTACTTTTCTCTTTGTCAAGATGTTGAATTTGGTCTTTGAGATACTTCTCTACCCCCAATGATCATTCATGCATGCTTTTAAACTCTCCTGAGAATGTTAGAGATTTGGCTTGTCTTGTGTTAATCTCTTATGATGCTCTTCTAGTATACTTTGAGCCTACAAGGCATTCTTAGTACCTTCTTGAGATTATAGCTTATCCTTCTTTAATTCTTTAGCGAGTCAATCTTGCCTTGCTAACTAGGAATCATCTTACATAAGGGAATAACAAGTTAAAGTCAAAGTCTCCCACCTAGTTGGAGTCACCTTCTAGGGACAAAGCAAGTTTTCAATGAATCATTACTACAAAAAAAAATATCATTTTACTTCAGTTGAAAAGGAATTTTACCTTAGTTTCATAAGCTAGGTAACAAAGAGAATTATGAAAAATTGTCATCTTATCCCTCATATAAAGTTTCACCGAGAGAAAAAGTGAAACTGGTCATCAGTTTGATATCCAACTATAATATTTTTTGGATTTTCAAAACGCGTCACACTTTACCCCTCGGTTGGAATTAATACTCGAAGGGTAAAGTTCTTTTATAAAATTTTAGCTTTAACCTATTTTTTTATTTTTAATTCGCAAAGTATCAAATTTGTTGACAAACTCTAAATCCTCCTCACCATCATCAATAACAATAACAACAAAAACAAAATCAATAGAATCCTTAAATATTAAATCTCAACAACAACAACAAAATTAACAACAACAACAATATCAACAACAAACAATAAAATCAATAGCATCTTTAAATATTAAATCTCAATAAATAAGAACAACATCAAATAAAAAATCAATAGAATCGTTAAGCGTTAAATCTTAACAACAATAACAAAATAATATTAAATATTTTACTTGACACAACAACAACAACAACTAACATTAATGAGTTGTTTTAATGTTTTCCTAACTAACATTTTACATTTTTAATAAATAATTACTAGAGAATAGGTTACATTAAGAAACCAACCTTAAAACATTTACGTGCTCTTGCAATCCATCTTGAAGAATGATGTATTTTACGCAATTGCTTTCAATATCATTGTTTCAATTATGTTAAGTTTACATTTTAGCACTTTGTATCTAAGATGGATAGTTGTGGCATTCACCTTCTAATTGGCTAGTGAGAATCTCACACGGATCACGAATGTCTAATGTGGATTAATGAGTTGACAATGTCTTGACCAGTGTTACTTTATAAATGGACGGAAAAGATTCGTTACTTAATTTTTTTATTAAATTGGTTATAAATAAAAAATAAAAAACACTTTACTATACCCCTCAATTTCTAACTCAACTGATATAATAGGTCATAAAAAATTTAAAATTAAAGGTATTAAAATATAGTTGACAATATTCAAAGACGTGTCATTTAAATATTTCATCCCTTGTTTGTCAACTCAACTAAGATAATAAGTAATAAAAAAATTTATAAACTAAAGGATGCTAAAGTGAGTTTGTTGGATTTAAAAGTGTGTCTTTTGAATACTTTTATCCTCGGTTGTCAGTTCAACCGAGAAAATATGTGATATTTAAAAAAATAATCAAATGTGATGCATCTATGATTTACACCTTATTTTTTTATTGATTGAGATGAATGCTTTGTTATATAATATATTATTTATATAAATGAATCTAAAAAAAGAGGAGTTGCAACCGTGAATAGAAACTAAGAGTCGGTCAATGCTGACTATAAATGCTGCATCAGAAATGATCATTTGGAATGTCTGTCAATTTTGTATTTAACTTTTGTTTTTCAATAAATAAATTAAAGTGTCATAAAAATAATATTAATACCAACAACTCAAGTTTTATTACATTGCTTATAATATTAGTTATTGTAATATTTTAAAAATCGAATCGAAAAAAGAATGTTAAAATATGTGGATTATGGTTCAATCAGTTCAACCGGTTTAACTGTGATTGAACCATATATTAAATTTAAATTAAGAAAATAAATAAATATATTATTAAAGATTCTTATAAAATTAATTTATATCATAGTTTGTAAAATAAAATTCTCAAATAAATACGATATTAATAAACAAGTTTACAAAAGAAGAAGAATGCAATGTAAGACCCAATAACAAATCAAAAATTAGTTAAGGATCAATATTTATATATTTGTCCTAATTGTTTAACTCAAAGCCACAAGTTCTTCATCAGTAGTTTTTCACATCTCTTCCAAGACCAACATCTGCTGACTCTCTTGCCACAAATATTACATTATTTCTTCTTTTTCTATTTACATTTACATTTATTCATGTCTTTCAATTTTATTCTTTATTTTCCATCTATACAATTTTAAATGTTTGCTATAATTAATTTTTTTTAGATTTAAACAAAAAAATAAAATGAAGTAAAAAATAAAAAAATTATCTTTAATTTTTTAAACCGCCTGCTTCATCAAATCCGGTCTCGATTTTACGATTATTTTAGTTTTTTGTGCTTGAAACAATTTAATCTCAATTTTATAGATCTAACTGTTTATTGGTCCAAATCGAACCAAATTAAACAATAGTTTAAAGTTAAACCGATTCAAACAATCGCTTCAATCTGATTTTTAAAACATTGAGTTATTGAGCTCACTTCCTTCTTTGAAAAATTTATATGCCCCTAAGTTCTTGTTGTATATCCCAAAGAAGTTCTTGTTGTATGTATCAAAGAGGCTATTTCTATTAAATATTGAAGGATGTGAAAGTTGTCGAATATAAAATTCAATAAATTATTTCAATTCAGTTTTTTTTCTAACCTGCTACCTACTAATTTAAGAGGGTCAATGCTATAGTCTATTTGCGGGGATTCTGTTTAAAATTAAAGTATAGTCTTTTAAGAATTAAACCAACACAAAAATTGTAACAGAATTCAAATTTAAAATTTTAAGAGAAATACATTTTCAATATCCAAGCTTTCATCAGTGCACCAACCTTTGAGAGTTTATTTCAATTAACTATTACTTTAACACATGCTTTGGCAAGTGTTCCACATTAGTAATCGGTTTGGAACAAGTTTATGCCATTAAAATCAAATATCTGTTTAATTTGAACCTGAAAAACAGGAAGCTAGGAAATGGACTATTTACTCTTTGAATATATTGAAGAATTAATGTATATGAATTATATATAATTCAAATATATTAATTCTTTAATAAATTTAAAAGGTAAATTTTTGTAGTATGTAAGATTTGTGGTCATATCTCTAAAATTATGAAGAAAAAACATTCTCAATTTTCACATTAACAATATTAAATACTAAAAATATTTAATTTTTCTGCGAGTTTACATGCGGATTTGAAACATAAACAGGTTTATAATTCTCAACTAAAACTTTCATGCGTGTAATAAACATTCGCAGGTAAATTTACAGGAAAATCCGCAGCAAATATAAATCTACATATAAATCTACCAGAAATTTCTTTCTTTTTTTATTTTTAAAACACTATAAATTATATATTAAAATGACCATAATATAAAAATAAAAATTTAATTTAAAATATTTTGAATTAAAATAAGACAAATTCATAGAACAACAAATTACTATAAAAGTTACTACATAGTTTGTAACAAGATCTTACATAGTCACATTATTAAAAATGACTCAAACAACAAAGCTACTAATATTCATTTGTCCACCCAACTTCAAAAGATAAAACTATCCAAATTATAACCAAGTTAATAAGAAAAACAGTACAAATCTAAATTCATTACTAAGGTCTTCTTCATCTGATTCTTCATCTTTATTTGTTTGATCACTTCATTAGTGGGTTGTGGGGGATGAGAAGATGACCCAACAAATCCCAAATGATTCATTAAAAATGAAATTTTATTATTCGCTTCGATCATCTCTTTTTTTTGTCAATGCAATTGTTGCCTCATCTCTAACTTCTCTTGTTCTTGTCTTTGCAACGATGCATTTAAAGCATGGACTTGCCTTCTCAGAGCATCAACCTCTTGAAATTCACTCGAAACACTTGAGGATTTATTTGATAATGAAACCAAAGTCTTGGAAACGGTTCCAAGACTAAATATCCTGCCTTTATTCTTTCCAACCGACTCTATCCATATATCCAAATCAAGTGGAATTTCAATAGTTGATTGACTATCAGCTTCATCCTCTCTCGGAATAGTTGGATTTTGAGAAGAAATCTCCAACTTTTTCCGCTCAAATTTATCCTAAAAGAAAATTACAAAAATAGTAAGGAATTAAATTCAATAAAAGTGATACTTTCCAAAAGACTTGTGTGCAAATTTGAAATTCAATTTACTTAACATTTTCCAAAGTACTCACATATGCGGATTCACCATGAATTTCTACCCAACTTTGATCCTTTTTTCGATGTGTGTGAAAATAGAACTCCGTCAATAATGGATCTATACCCTTTTCCTTTTTATAAAATTACAAAAGAAACAAGAAACAATGTTATTTATTATAGATACTAATTTGAGAAATTTAATGAAAAACTTATAATACATGCCATTCTTTTCCAATGCAAATGATAAGGAATAGATCCTCCGGTCTGAAGAGATGCACCATCCAAATTGAAATGTTCCAATTGTGTGCATGTTAAAGTTAAAACAATTGATTTAGTTAGTTAGTGACTAATCAAACATGGAAGCATAGTTTTTGTAACTATAAATCAGCGATTAACTCTTTCAAGTATTCTAGTTTTGGTAACTACAAATTAGAGACTATGTTGTCTTTTGAAGACTTTCCAGATGTAACAGAATGTGACTTAAAAATTATATTAGTCAATATTTAGATTTAATTACCTGAAATAAATCAAAGAAAGAATCTCGTTGATTAGTTGATAATTTCTTCCACTATGATTCTCCCTCAATCAAATGACTCTAACAACTGTTGGATACACACATTATGAGTTGAGTTGTGATTAGAGAACATGAAATGCAATTACTTCTAGATGTCGGTATGAAGTTATGTCATAATTGAAGATGGTATGTCCTAGTGGTTAAAAGTTTGATCTGTGTCACAAGGAATGTGGCTTTCATACCCAATCTCTACTTTTTACCATAATGTTTTATTTTATACTTTCTTTTTTAATTTAACCTTTACCATAATTAAATAAATATATATTAAAATCTGCATACTATTTATAAAAATAATTAGAAAACATCATTAAAATAATTAATAAAATAGAAAAAATAAGGATTAAAAATAAAAATTTAAAACTAAATTAAAAACACCATCTAAATAATTAATAAAATAGAAAAAATAATGATTAGTAATTTTTTGTAAAATTTAAACAAATACAACTATTATTTTATAAAACATTTAAATCTGTTAAATAATTTTTGAGAAATTTTTTTATTTTATTAAAAATTAAAATATTTACAACAAACTATAAAATGATTTAATTTCTTTTAGCAATAATCATGTTTTGAAAAAAAAAATCAAATTTTTTCAGTTATTTATGGATTTTCCTGCAGATTTATCTGTGGATTTACCTGTGAATTTTCTTATGGAATACTTTGGAAAAACTATCCACTAGTAAATCCGCAGAAAGCATCTATTATGCAGGAAAATTCGCAGATAAATAGAAAAAATTGAAAACAAATTTAAGAGATGGCTAGGCGCCATCTCACTTGACGCCTCCTTTAAAAAAAATCAGTGCATGCGCCATCTAAAATAACTACTGCATTATATCATTTTTTAAAATATGATTATTTGCATAAATTTCTCTAAAACATGGTTAATTATTTTTTTTTTTTCAAAATCACATAGTTATTGTTAAAAAAAATTAAAATATTTCATAGAAACATTTCCTGCAAAATTACCTGCAGAATTTGTAGTCTGCAGAAACATCCACAGGAAAATTTATTTCTCTACTAAAGTCGCTCCCATGAAATGGATAATTTTCCACATAATAATCTACAGGAAATTCTGAAATTTTTACTGTCCTACCATTCTTTTAGAAAAGATATACCAACCTAACATTTAATTCAGCAATATATTCCATTATACCATAGTTTCAAAAAAAAATTATTATTGGTAAAGAGGCTCCGTACATTCAATGGACGGAAATATACAAAAATGAAAAAGTTTCGTCCATTCATTTGGCGCTCGTGCAATTTTTTAATTATTTTTTTATTATCTGTGGATTTTTCTGCGAATTTTACCTGCGGAGTTCCTGCGAAATAATATTCTTATCTGCATATTTCTTAATTCTATGATTTTTATATACGATTTTATTAAAAAAAACTGTAGGTAAATTCGCAGTAAAATCTGCAAGAAAGAAATCATATAACAAAATTCACATGAAATTTCAAATAATTCAAGTTTCTTAAGAAAATCTGTAGAAAAATAAAATATAATAAAAATATAGAGGATCCGCTCAATCAATTGAAGGATGTGCTTAAATTAAAATATAAAAAAAACTAACATTTTAAAATTTATTTTAAAAAGTGTGATAGTTTGATATTAAAATTAGAAAAGTGTTGTATGTTTGTAAAAATTTCGGAATTTTTGATATTTCTAATAATGATTTAAACGTGCGTATGTGGGAAACAAACACAAGTAATGTCATTCTCACACCACAAAATTCATATGTTGATGTTAGCAATTAGCTATATTGATTTGAGTGTGAAAGGGATATAATTGTATGGAGGGGACCTTGTCATTGATAAACTGTTGCTCCCTTACAAGATCAGAAACTCATCACTGAGATTGCGACATATATATATATATACATCCTCATGTTTTAATATTTAGTGTCTTACATTATGTATAATGGAGTGTTGAAAAAATTATTCAGTAGTTGAATAGGTGCAATGGAATGTTGAATAAAGGGTTGAAAATAACATGAATTAATTAATGTTAAAAACATTCAACATGTTGAATGAGCAGGAAGCGGTGTCACATATAATATTTTGTAAAATTTTATTGGTTTATGTGATTGTTTAGATTATTAATTCACCTTAATTATTTGAAATCAATTATTTTATAATATATTAATTTTTTATTTATTTTTGTTTTCACTAAAATTTATCATTTTTTTATTTATAAATGAAGATTTGGTTCATTTGATTTGGACACACACAAAAAATCCATTTTTTTCATTTAAACTTCAATAAACTTTTATTTTATCCACTGTTATTTATTTTAATAATGACTATTGCTATACAATTAAAAAAAAAATCAAATAAATTAAGAATATAAAATTAAAATAAATTAAAATAAATTGTTAAATTAGAAAGAAAAAAAAATTATTTAACTCTTAATTATTTTAATTTTATTTTAATTGATATTAATATAAAATTACAAAAAAGAAAAATATGAAGAAAAAAAATGAAATAAAAATAGTGAGGTGACGTGTTGAATTTTTTTAAACAAAATCATTATAATTAGTAAAAATTAAATGGTGTTGAATTATTAGATGATGGAAAGAGATGATATGTAGTATAAAAAAGAAAAAATGAAAGTGTTTGAATACATAAACCATTATATACCGTCTTCTTTTTTTTTGATAGATTCTTTTGCATTTGAAATATATGGTGTTAGCCTTTTTTTGGTATAAAGGAAAAGTGCATGAGGGTTTTTAAAGGGGGTGAAGGAAACAACTTTAGTGAAAGAAGAGAAAAGAAAGTAAAGCGAATTAAGATAGAACCATACAAGGTATATATGACCGATCGTGGTGGGAGTAGGATGTGTGATCACTGTATTTGTCTATAGGAAAAATGGAAAAAAGAGAAAGTAAACAAAACTAAGGTGATCCCAAGAAGATTGTTTGTCTGTTTGTAAATATTTCAATTGTATGCAGCTTATGTTTTTCTCTATTTTATGTACAGACAAAGACATACTCCTCTGTGTGGGAGAGGGTTTTAAGAGTATGGGAGATTCTACTGTCATATAAAAATAGTTAGGGAAAGTTTGTTAGAAGGTATTAAATTATATTTCTTGTAATCATTTTCATAGGAATAATACTCCTATTGTTTGGAAAATTAGAAATGTTTATGAATTTTTAAGAAAACTATAAGAATAAAAAGAAATGTGAATGTAATATAAAAGTGAGTTGATTTGTGATAGAAGTAATAATAATGTTTATTATTGGGTTGATCAATAATATTTTTTACTTAGAATTAATAATTATATATATTTAACGGATCAATAATATAAGTAACACGAGTTTTAGAAATGAGAAGTTGAAAACTTAGATACGAGTTTTAGAAATATATAGTTTTCGTTTAAGTAAGAGTAAGACGGAATATATGGAATATAAAACCAGTAAAATGAGAAGTGTTTCTAATCTAGAGGTGAAAATTGGAGATCGTATACTAGAAGTCATGTGATTTAAATATTGTGGGTCTGTAATACAAAAGCGAATGCGATATAAAAGGGGATGTAATTAATCGAATTCAATTTGAATGGCTGAAATTGAGGAGGGCTTTGGTGTTTTATGTGACATAAAAATATCGCTCAAACTAAAGAAAAAATTCTATCAAACAACGATAAGACATGTGATTTTGTATGTTACAAAATGTTAGGTGGTTAATGATCAACACGAAAATAAAGCAAGTATAGTAGAGATGAAAATGTTGTCTTGGATATATGGTAAGGCTAGACGAGATAAAATTAGAAATGACAATATTAGAGATAAATATGTATTATTTCTTGATGATCAAAGTGATATTCATCTTGGTAAAAATTTGACTTTTCATACTAGATTCAATATATTGATGTGAGATTTTATTGGATACATGATATTTTGGATGATAATGGTTCATATATGACGATAAAAGCATTATCAAAAGGAAAATTTGAAACTTGTTATGATATTGTCTGTTTGATGCTTACCACCTCATAAAAATGTTTGATATTATGTAGAGAAAACTATGTGGCATTCACGCTGCATCAATTTTTTTTGGAATCTTTTATCTTTTCATTCTCAAATTGTAAGCTTTTGTACTTCAGTGTTTTGCCTGGTGTTGATACTATTTGTGCATTATTCTTATACTCTCTTGTAATCTCATTTGGTTACTAGAGTTATTTTTTAGCCTCATATTTGTGACTTTTACCCTTGCTTTGAGAGTTTCCCACGTTAAAGGTTTGGTGTACTTTATTTGCTTTCAATTGTTGTGCTTGCTACCATCTATTTATTATTGCTCCTCAAAGATCCTTGCAAGATGTAATTTTATATCAGTTGCATGTTGGTTTTTATTGTGTTTTGATTTAGATTTCTACTAGAGTGATATTAGAGTAATAATGAAAAAGGATTGGAGAAAATCAGTCATTAGTGAGAAAAAAAAGTGAGAAATTTATTCTCGATTGTGGTAATAATAATTGTGAGTTAAAAGACTCATATTATGTAGAAAAATGGATAATGAACACTATTTTTAATAAGCGAAAGGATCCATAAACTTAATTTTTAAGATTTTTGACAAATATGTGATGTTTCTCTCTTATTTAGTTGCTCTTGATCTAATATAAATGTTCTCCTCATGACCCATCAATGATATAAGAATC